ATTCCAGCAATGTAAATTATATTCTGGCCGGATAATTTGTATGAATTTTATGAGCTAAATAAAAAAATTATACTTCACTGTGTAAAGGGGTACACCCACCGCGGAATGTGAGCATCCTGGGTTCTGGCAGGGCACCGCGTAAACGTGGAAACGCGGAATGTGGGACCGCGTAAAGTGAGGGTTGACTGTATGTGCGCATGCGTGAGCGCCACAGCGGCAACAAGCGACCACGTGGTCGCCACTTTAAAACGAGCAATCAAACTGTGACAACATACCGTATATACAGTACTCATCTATAACCCCCCCTCGTTTATCGGTCGACCCTGATTTTTTGACCAAGAAATCGTTAATTTATGATATTCCTCGTTTATAGTTCGACACACGTTTTTGAGGGTAAGGGAACAACAAAACCTTCAGTAAAAACGCTCTACGTCCTATAAACTGAAACACGAGTGCCGAAGGCAAATTGTTTACCATTCATTATTACGACACTTTACACTGAAACGCGTGTAGTTTCAACAAAAATATTGTAGATTTCCATTCAAGTATTTATTCAAGTCAATTAGGAGGGAATATTATTGCAATACAACAGTTGTTTAACTAAACCATTCGAAAAGCGATTACAGTAACATCTTTTGAACGAAAGCGAAAGTCATTGTTTTCGTCACGATTTTATCCCACTTTCCACTTTAATACGTACGTAATTTCAGCAAAAATATTACATTTCCGTGAATGTATTATATCAAGCACAGTATGAATAGAATATCATTGTAATATAACAGAATTTTAACTGAAAACTATTAAAAAAATGAGTAACATCTCAAGAACATCAGAAGCTTAGGTAAAGTCTTTTGTTTTTGTCATGTATTTTATCCTATTTTACATTGAAATACATCACGTTTCAGCAAAACTACTATTTATTTCCGAGAATATATTCATTCAGGCGCAGTTTAGGTAAAATATACGTGTGATGTAATAGTTTTTTAACTGAAAACGATTCGAAAAACACGTACCCTCTAGCCCTGTTCAAGGAGAGACTGGGAGAAGCAGTTTGGTGCTGCAGACGATGACAAAGAAAATGATTTTGATGGATTTTAATGAAAATATTCAGAAATATGGTATCGTAGTATTTATTCAAGTCAATTAGGATAGAATATTATTGTAATACAGTACAACAGTTTTTTAACTAAACCATTCGAAAAGCGATTACGGTAACATCTTTTGAACGAAAGAAAGCGAAAGTCATTGTTTTTGTCACGATTTGATCCCACTTTCCACTGTAATACGTACGTCATTTTAGCAAAAATATTACATTTCGTTGAAGGCATTATATCAAGCACAGTATGAATAGAATACCATTGTAATATAACAATATTTTGAGTCCTACTCTTTCCATTTACAGATTACTGTACAAGCCCATAATAATGGCTCCTAAAGTAGATAAACTTCGTTGTGTGAAGAGAAAGAAGAACACGTTGAAATTGAGTGACAAACTTGAAATAATTAAGAAACTAGTACGTGGTGTGAGCAATACTGTTCTAATGGAAACATACGACATTGGAAAGTCTATAATTTATGATATAAAAAAGGCAAAGAATAAAATTCTAGAATTCACAGCTTTTTCATTAAAACTGCTCGTTTTGATAAATGAAGCATGCTATATTTGCAAATGAATAAACTATCAAAATGTACCTGTTCACCTCTTCTTTATTCCTCCTTAAATTTGAATTTTAAAAGTACTGCCTGAGAATCTGGAAAATCCGAAAATCCGGACTGGCCCAATCCCCAAGCAGTCCGGATTTTTGGACTTCTACTGTATAATATTTTACATGGCAGCCAAGGTATGGTAACCGAGTATGTTTACACACGTTTACACACACACACACACACACACACACACACAGAGAAAATTAACAAATACAGTACTTGTACTGTAATCGAACAAAAAAATTCGGAAATCGTTGAATGTCAAAACATTCCGAACTCGATTAATTCGAATTTTTTTTAATTTGTGTGACCCACAACTCTTTTTTGTTGAATTAACAAGGGTATAGTATATTAGGTTTACTGAAAATGTGGCTTTATCAGAATGGCCTTTCCAGATTAGTATAACATGGCGAGGTTCCACAACACACTACAAATCTTTTATTTCCCATTTCCTTAATGTGTCTGTACCACATAAGCATACCCTGATCTACAGTATTCTCTTCCCCAAAAATATTTCAATACCACACCTCCTTATTTCTGTATTTCTTATTGCCTACATCCTTCTTGCCTAATCCTCCTGCAACCAGAACCAATGCTTTAAAGCCTTATAATAATGTCAGGTCAATAATTCCCGGCACATCTCCATCTCTGCTTCTTTTGACATGAATTTTTCTAAATACAAATACAGTGAACCCTCACTTTACGTGGTCAATTGAACCCACGGTGGCCCGCGTAAAGTGAGAAACGCATAAAGTGAACAACATAACATATGGGATTAATTGAAATAGAGACCGGGCCGACCCCCCAAACTCCACTTTTTCAGACACAATACCTACGTTGTAGTAAAAATAACTTCTTAATTTTATGATGGTATGCACACACAATTAATAATTAAGAGAAATATCAATAATATTAGGTTTTTTAACACTTACATTAGTAGAAAAGATGGCTGGGCACACGGGGATGGGGGGTTGGTTCCGAGGCAGAGGACAGATTATTGGCCCTCACCTGTATCACTATCCACCACAGAGGCTTGCAGGGCCTCTTTGTCAAACCCCTCAAAGTCCATATAAGTCCATATCCTCACTATCATTATCACTATCACTGACTTGGGCCGGCTGTGGTGGGTGGCGGGTGAAGAACTCGGTAATGTTTTGATGACTGGGCGACCTTGTGCGCACCCTGCTCGCGCCGCTCTCCGCGTAAAAGGGCACACACACCGCGGAAAGTGAGCATTCCGTGTTCGGCAGGGTACCGCGTAAAGTGGGACCGCGTAAAGCGAGGGTTGACTGTATGTAAATTTTTCAATCATTAACGTTTTATCATCATCATGTTTTATGGTCCTTTTCCACACTCAATCGAACAACTTAATTCTTTCCTTACACTACTGTGGCTAATTTATTGCTTATCAATCCATTTGTTGACACACCCCAAAACATTTACTTCCTCCCTCCTATGGCCATTCAAGATGACAACTTACTTTAATCACTACTTTTGTTCCTATTCACCTTCAACTTTTTCCTAGTACCACACAAACATATGCACACTCTCTGTTTGACTACTTCCTTAACATTAGCAGTTTTTCATCTAAACTGTCAATTGTCAATTGCACCTCTCTCCATCATTCTTGTATTTAACACTCTTACAAAAACCAATGCAAAAATATATTAACCTTTTCACTGTATATGATAATCTTTGGAACACTACTGTACTGTAGAGTACAGTATTTTGAAAAAAGTTATATGTCTTCAATCCAGAGAAATCAGAAACTACAATAAGTCTGCACTTAACATTGTTTCAGTACTACGTTGCTAAAATTTAGAGACCAAAAATTCGTTTAACGTCCCAGTGATCATATACTACGTCGTTTTGCGTCGTCACGGACTACTTTCTACGGCGCATCACCGTCTCTCGTCTGGCCGCGCTACGCTCTCTCGGCTTGGCGCAAAGTCTCAATGACTCACCACCTCCACCTCTCCTCTGCTCCCACCCTCCTCCTCAGCGCCCGCCATACTCCTCCCCTCCTGCCATCCGCCTCCTCTGCTTCACTACCCACCACACACTCGCTCTACCAATCGGTGAGTACCACTACAAACTTAGTACAGAACAGTAGTTGTATGTGTATGCACTATTTTCTATAGAAATGGCAATGATTTTCTGTACCTGTATATGTAATGTATTTCATGGGGCATAGGGGTCTCAGGAACGTAACTCCCGTATTTCATCTACTTCTTATGGGGAAAATTGATCCACTTAACGCTGTATCATATAACGTCGCATTTTTAGGAACTTAACCCCGACACTAAGCGAGGACTTACTGTATACGGTATTCAAATGTTCCTCACAGCATTCACTCTCTTAAACGTATTCTTTATTACATGGCACAACACTTGGGCGTTGATATCATCCTTCTGACAACAAAATACCGCCTGGGAAGATATTGGAAGCATTATGTATTATCTAATGGTAGACCCTGCTGCCATGTGGCATCACAAAAATTGTGACCAAGTCCTAGGCTGCTGATCTGACTTTCTGCCTCATTTACACACAATTGCAGGGTCTCAATTGTTTCTCTTACTTTGGACAACATAACATTACATATATTGTTTCTCACTTTTGATCTTTTTTTCATTTTTGTATATCTTTATGGTTCTTTATAATTATTATTACTATTATTATTAGTGTTATTATTATTATCATTATTATTATTTTTTAATTTTGTATTTTTATTATAAATTTAATTTACTATGAATTATTATTATTATTACTACATTTTCGTCCCCCAAGCCCCGATGTGGGTCAGTGACCTGTGCCCGGGTGGGCACAAAATGGCTTTCCCTTTGGCTATTCAAGCTGATGCCAAGAAATTTAGAACATTCAATTTTGCAAATGAAAATTAAAATAAGGTACTGTATTTGAAAGAATTTGTTGTTAAATAATAGCAAGCATCACTGAACAGTACAGTACTTAATTCAACTATCTTACTCCTTCAAACTACAATTTGGAGATATTGCCCAACAACTGTATAGAGCACCAAACGATATCCAAGCATGTACTGTAGGAGTAACACTAGTGAGGCACTGTCTAAAGATGAGACAGACAAGTGATGATAAACCCTCACACAAAAATCAACCATTCAATAAATATTTGGAGGTTTCTAACAAGAATAGTACAGTACAAAGAAATGTGTGTGCCAAATCTAAAGCAAATCAATCACAGTTATACTGACATGAACTCCAACTTAATAACATTGTACTGCATAATGCTGTGATTACACAGTAACCCATACATACCTCAACACTGCCAATCCATTGTCTAGAGTTAAGAAAATCCTTTTCTTTATCTCCAATTTCCACAAGGATTTCTTGTATGCGGTGATTAGAAGGTACAGGAGCCAAACTGCTTGAAGTTCCTTGAGACTTCCTCAACTGTCCTCTTATCCATGAACACAAAGTCATTAGTGTCCTATATCCACATCCCCAGCCCTGGGAGAGATGTTCCTTATCACAAACAGTACTGCACTGTACATTATACCAGAATTAATAAAATAGGCTAATCTCAAAATCTAAATTTATTTGTACAGGATATGAACTCTAACATGAAATACCTGTTTTTTTTATATGGTATTATGTTTATCAGTCAACATCATGTATTCCTACTTTAAAACAAGTTAGCTTGTGCAGTCTTTTCTAAACAATATATATATATATATATATATATATATATATATATATATATATATATATATATATATATATATATATATATATATATATATATATATATATATATATATATATATATATATATATATACTGTACAGTATATATCCTTATTTTCTCATTCACACTTGCTTCCTTTATGCAAACACTACCTCACATTGTTCTTCCACCTCATCTCTGGTCTCTCTTCACCTTCTCCCACTCATCTTACTGAAATAAGTGAGACAATAATGCATTATGTTCCCATGATTGCTTATGACAAGCTGATGACGTGGTTAAACAAATTAAGGCTAACAATGACAACATTTAGGTGAGAAATGCACTGTTAAGTTAAATAAACTTTAACTAGAGTCATTTGCCAATGTGATTTTTCAGTTTGTGAAAGTATACGTTAACATTAAACTGCATTTACAGTCAACATTATCATTTATTTTGAATTTAGGGGGTGATGTACTCTTAGCTACTGAAGCCCATTCTAAAATTCTGAAACAATTAAGAATTTAAGATAATGAAATAATTATACTGCATTCCAAGTTCTTGGTTGCCAATCTAGTTTCTCATTTATTTTTCCTGCAAAGCTTGTCAACTGGCAACTGAAATTTTCATCAATGTCCCACTCTCTTCAGTAAAATTTTTTTTCACTTTTCTATCACTACAAGTACGTATTCTTGTTCTTGTGCAGTTCCAATAAGCCAGTGTATCTTCAACAGACATTTTAATTCAGTATTTTTGCACTATCACAATGGCCAAAATGGAGTGATAATGGTGACAAATTGACACATGCACTGTGCACATAGACAAAAAAAAATTTTCATGTTCACTTTAGGGAGGCAAACTGTTTTTGTACATTCTCTTGTTTCCGATGCTAAATACTGTACGCCCATGCACTCTTACTCAGTGATAAAAAAGTTATGGTCAGCAGAATAAAAAACTAATATGAACTTTTGTTACTAGGTGTTGTTAGACTTGTGGAGAAAACTTGTGCAATCCTCACTCATATACTGTACTGATGAAATTAGAGTCTGCTGGATATGGGTAGTTGAGATGCACTTTTTCAGTAATATAGCTTTTCCTGTAGAAGCTTGACACTATACAGTACAGTACTGTACCTTCAACCTTGGAGTCATTAAAATCACAATGTCAAAAATATACCTGACCTGTACCTCTCTGTCAGTAACATTCTCCCAAAAATTTAAGTGACTGTATCAGACAAAACTTAATGCAAGAAAACCAAATATATAAGATATAACTGATGACCAGCAATGCTATACCAGATTATGACTCCAAATTTAAAGGCATATAACAGGGAAATAAACTTTCAGAAAGAAGAGGAAGGCAAGGTGAAAATCTCTTAGAAATATGCCAAAGCTAAAATGCTTTGGACATTCACAGAAAACATATTTGAGTTATATAAAAAGGTATATACACCCAAGAGAAAAATACCACAAACCCCAGGTCCAATAAAAATTTAAATGAGCTGGTATATACAGTACCGATATAGCTGTTGGGTCGATTCCTCTGACTGTACTGCATAGGCCTAATATCCTTTATTATGCAATGTTCTGTGGTTTACACCACTGTACAAAAAATAATAATAAGCCTAATATTTGTGTTCAAACCAATGGTCAAGTACTCAGCCTCTTTAGTACTTTAATGATGAATGATTAGGGATGTGTTAGTAGTATACAGGAGAGAACTGTTTGAGACTTGAACAGAAGAGCCGACATTTCCCAGTGTAATATGTAAGTACAGGTAGACCAGCTCATATCCGGCAATCAGTAATCCGGTTCCACCGCTGGTTTGGACATAATTTGGCCACCGTAATTTCAAATTTCGTGCTGGTCTCCTCGCCAACCCGCCCCGCCGCTACTGTTTTGGTGGCGCCACTAGCAGAATCAGCTCTTGGCACGGTGTTTGAGGAGCGGTAAGTTATTCCTCTGTGTTTTTCTTCATTTATTATTATAAACTGCTGTTATTTAGCCCCAGTCAGGTCTTCATTGAATAAAGGAAGTGCTTCTTGTGGTGCAAAGCACAAACACCATGCATTGTCTATACAAGAGACTGGATGCAGATAACATTAATGAGTGGATGGGTGTTGATGATATGAATCAACTGTTCATCATTATACTGATGTTGAAATTGTTCAGATGGTTGTAAATCCAGAGACAAATAACATTGGGGGAGAAAGTAATGATGAAAATGAGGAAGAGGTAGCTGAAAGAATGTCCATTGATAAGTTAGTTGATGTAAGTTAATACAGATACCTTGCAAGGTATTTTGCCTGTACTTCAATAAATTTCACTTGCTTTTCATTTGTTGTTTCTTTTCTTTTTATTATCCAACTTGTACTATTTACAGAGTATTTTAAAGGTAGGGTGAGGTGGTTATGAAGTGGGTTAGAGGTGTTTATATATTTAATTCTAACCTAACCACCTGTGGTTCGGCAAAATCACTAATCCGGCACTGCGCAGGTCCCAATCAGTCCGGATTTGAAATGGTCAACCTGTAGGTGACAACCAACATGTAGCAAAAGGACCGATTGAAATAATTAGAGATAATATGTGGTATTTCTCCTCTACCCTTTGGCTGTATCAATTTAACTCATAGCTTTATTCTTATTGATATCCAAATGTATCCTCCTTTAGCTAGAGGAACTTGAAGCATGAATAATGGTCTCGGTTCAAGGAATTCACATTTTTTATGCAAACAAAACCAAAGTGGTATACAGAACCTGTACAGTACAAGGGGTTCCCAGGTTACGAATGGGTTTCATTTCTGAGGACGTTCTTAAGTCGGAAATGTACATATGTCGGAACACATACCCAATGTGAACTATATCATAGCTCAAGTCCTTTTATACATCTTGAATCACTTAATTTAAGAGAAAAGAAGAACTGAATGACAAAATGCACCAAAGAAAAGTAAAAATTAAAGTTTAACACTTATATTGAAGCATGCAGCTGGCTTGCATGTAGAGATGGGCATTTGTAGGAGTGACAGAGGCTTTATTGGGGCGAAACTGAAGATGGTGATGATGATGTAGACGTTAACAGGATTGGTTCTGGGGAATCTGGCAAGGTAGAATTAACTGGTATTGCAGTTGCTGGGAATTGCTCTGTAGATGCTGCAGTGGTTGATGGGACTGGTTTTGGCTGCCTTTCGACTTTCTTAAAACCTTTTCAAGGGACGGTTGAACTGAAACTTTCTTCTTTTCATCATAAATCTCTTTGTAGCATCACAGACATTCAGTAACACCTCTATGAACCTTGGTGAATGTTGCTATGTTGGGATCTTGCTGTTCAAATTAAAACAATCCTTCTTCAATAAGCCTGAAACCATCTGCCATTTCTTTTGTAATGAATACCTTTGGTTCTGGAGTTTCAGCTTCCTCTACATCCTCTGACGAAATTTGCTTCTCCAGTTCAATCAGGTCCCCATTGCTTAATTCTTCAGCATGAAACTCAAGCAAATGTGTGACATCATCCTCATGAATATCAAGCTGGAGTTAGTTCCCAAGGTCTACCACTGTCAGTGTCACTTCCCCAACATCATCTTCAAAGTCCCTGAAATCGTGGACAAACCGTGGGCAAAGTTTTTTCCAAACACCATTCATGTCGGTTTCTTTTACTTCAGCCTATGAATCTGCAATGTTTTTCACAGCATAAAAAACGTTGTAGGACTTCCAAAATTCCCTTAAAATCTAACCCTCTTTTCGTTCTGTTGCCCTGATAGCTTGAGCAAAGGTCCTTCTCAGGTAATGTGCTTTAAATAAAGCAATAATTCTCTGATCCATCGGTTGTAAAACAGATGTTGTGTTTGGAGGAAGGTACACAACCTAAATTTTGGATGAACATCATCTAAAAATGCTGGATGGCTAGGTGCATTGTCAAGAACCAAGAGAATTTTAAATGGCATGGATTTTGAAATACAATACTGATCCACTTCAGGCACAAAATGATTATAATACCGGTCTTCAAAAAGGGCCAATGTCACCCTAGCCATCTTATTAGATTTCCAGATACCGTACCTGGTAGTGCTGCCTTGAAAACACTCTTCAAATCTCTAGGATTTTCTGACTGGTAGACAAGCAAAGGTTTTAGTTTGTAGTCCCCTGCAGCATTGCCCCCCAGCATTAAGGTCAGCCTCTCCTTGGCAGCTTTATACCCTGGTGCTGTTTCTTCAGGTTTTGAAAGGTATGTGTGTTCATGCATCCTTTTTCAAAATAAACCAGTCTCATCAATATTAAAAACTTGCTCAGCAAAACAACCCCCTTCTTTAATTATTTTATCTAAAGCAGCAGAAAAATACACTTGCTGCAACTTCATCCACATTGGCTGCACTTGCCTTGCACTTTAATGTTATGTAAGTGTTAGTTACAAGATTAGTGAGGTTATCCTAAAACTATATCTTGCACTTGTAAGACCTCACTTGGATTACGCAGTTCAGTTCTGGTCACCATACTACAGAATTGATATAGAATCCCGAGAAAGAATTCCGAGGAGAATGACAAGACTAATCCCAGGCATTATGAACCTTGAGTACAGAGACAGGTTAAAGCATCTTAATTTGCACTCCCTCGAGAGACGTAGAGTGCGGGATGAAATGATTGAAGTGTAAGTCAGGGCTAAACAAAAGTGATATAACAAAGGTACTCAAACTATCCAACCAGGAGAGAACTCATAGCAATGGTTTGAAATTAGACAAATTTAGATTTAGGCACGAGATAGGTAAAAATTGGTTTGGAAAGAGTAGTGGATGAGTGGAACAAGTTACCAAACATCATCATTAACTCGAATACGCTGGATAACTTCAAACATAGGTTGGATGGATATATGAGCGATAGGGGTTGGGTGTAAATGGGACTACCCAGTATGGGCCAGTAGGCCCGCTGCAGTTTTCTCCATTCGTATGTTTGCCCTTGCCTTGAACCGGTTAAACCAGCACCTACTAACAACAAAATATTACCTATCACTTTCAGTACCACGTTTAGCCTTCAAGTCAGGGTGCACGCTTCTTGCTCTTTCCTGAATCAAGGCTTGACTTAGAGGCAGACGCTGTTGATTTTGATCTTCCACCTATATCAGCGACAATCTTTCCAGTTCAATTACAAATCCACTTTTTTGTTTTGTTATCACAGTTGAGTGCATTGGTGTAGATCCTCTAACATGTTCAAGAATTTTCTGTCTTTCAAAATTGCTCCGACTGTTGACCGACTGAAGCCCAATGCCTTACTGATCACTGAGGGTGTTTCGCCTTTTTCAAAACATTAAATTAAATCATCTTCAAACTTCCATCGTAATTGTTTTCCTTTTCTTGGATGCATTACTATCACTTGTATTTGGGAACCATGACGAAGGCCAAAAAAGAAAGTTAATAAGCAAAAAACAATAGTTTGTACTGGATCACGTACGTTAAGGCAGTGAGGATAAAGCGCACCGACGCTCCCTTTCCCTCAAGGTGCATGACTGGGTGTGATGCATCACTCTCCACGCACTGCCCCGCCTCCCCTCTACGCCGCGCAAACTAGTTCTTGTATGTAACTGCTACGAACCATTGTACTTATGTTGGATTTTTAAAATAATTGACCCTATGTGACCTAGTTTGTATCGCTGGGCATTCGTAAGTTGGGGACCACCTAATAAGTGTTGTGCCCAATTCATTCTCCAGCAATCATACAAACAAATATGGAAGCCTTTGGGGCAAATTTTTCATCTTTCTTAGCTTCTTAACATAAAACAATGAAACTAGCATTTGTATAATAGGTGCTTTATTGAGGTTAAAAGCATTTATCTCTCCCAGAAGTTGCTGATGCCCATCATTAAAGTTATGGTCTAAATTAAAGGTTGACACTACTGTAGAGTACCAGTCTCTGGTGGTAGTTTACAGTATGGTACAGTACAGTACTATATATACAGTAAATTGTTTCATCTATATAAATTATGTATTTCTATAAATTCATTTATTGTTAAAAAACAAAAAAGAATTCTCTCGTAAATTATACCTATAAAGTACTGTACTGTACTGTATTCTTAGAGAAAATTAAACAAAATAAAAGTACATTGTCATAATAACTGAATGCAATACAGTAAATCTGTTCATGCATCATTTAATTTTCAAATTCTTCAGATTTTCATTTGTCATACATTAAGGTGCTGTTATTCAATCTCTACAAGGTACAGTATACAGGTACAGTTCATGCACAATTACCAGGTTCAACTATTACTGGTATATGACTCGATGTAAAAAACAGTGGAAAATTGTACTCGAGTTATACGGCATTAATAAATACTGTACTGTAATACTGTAGCAAGATGCTGAAGGGAAGCTAAAGAGAATACAGTACTTACCCGGTCGTCAAAACCATCACAGCCATAGTGATAATAGAGATAATCTCCAACAACAAGATCTACTTCTGATACACCTGCTGGACACTGTAACCCATTGTGTATGTTAGGTAGTAGGTCACACACATAATCATGTCCACCTCCCATTTTTCTGGGGAAAAATTAAAAAAAAAAAAAAAATATATATATATATATTATCTCCGATAGCTGGAACAATTGGTGCAAAGTACTTTCGGGAATGAGAGATTTCCGGGTGACGGGAAAATTTTCTCGGAAGTTCCAGAAACTGCGCATTTCACCAACTCTCGAGCCAGGGAAGAAATCCCCCATCCCTTGAAATTTTCTGGGTACTGTAATTTTGAGGGTAATTTTCCAAAATGATGCATTATTTCATCTCTCAAAGCAGGAGAAAAATCCTCCATCGGAATTTTCTGGGTACTAGAAAATTGTTCTCAGAATTTCCGGAAAATGCCCCCAATTTCATCTCTCAAACCCCCCAAAAAATACCCCCTCCCTAGAATTTTCTGGCTACCTGGAAAATTTTCTCGAAATTTTCAAGAAAATGTGCCCCTCAGAAAATTTTTCCCAAATCCAGAATTTCCAGAAAATTCCGGCTTTGGGAATAATTTTCCGAGAAAATTTCAATTCCGGCCATCGGAGAGTTCCGGTTAAGAGGGATTCCAGCTAATGAAGATATTGTTATATATATATATATATATATATATATATATATATATATATATATATATATATATATATATATATATATATATATATATATATATATATATATATATATATATATATATATATATATATATATATATATATATATATATACTGTATAGTGATGGTCAATTCAAAACTGATATTATGTTACATAAATTTATTTGTCAGTGGCTCAAGGTTAAAATGCAAAATACTTCGAAATCCTTGGAGCTAGATGTAGGATAGTTATTTAGTGGGTCCCATATTTTTGACCCGACCTGACCTGACTTGTCACGTCGCCCTTTTCTCTTAAGCTCCTCTACGTGTGTGTTGGTGTGGGGATTAGTGGATAACATCATTATGACCTGACCTCATGTTTAATAAGGTCACCCTGTATATTTAAGCCTCTCTCTGTTCATGCGTTGTTTCCCTTTTCCTTGTTTGATTTTATCAATATATATATATATATATATATATATATATATATATATATATATATATATATATATATATATATATATATATATATATATATATATATATATATATATATATATATATATATATATATATATACAGTTGTACCCCACTTAACGCGGTCAATAGAACCCAGAGGGTCCCGTGTTAAGTGAAATCCGCGTTAAGTGAACAACAGAACATATGGGATTAATTCCAATAGAAACCGGCCCGACCCCCAAACTCCACTTTTTGAAGACACATAACTATATTGCAGTAAAAATAACATCTTAATTTTATGATGGTACATGCACACAATTAATACTTAAGAGAAATAGAGAAATACAGTCGCCAAGTTAATGTCCATTCAAATAATGGACTCAACTCCCTGCCCCTCTCACACTACACTGCCGGCTCTTCCCTCTGAGAAATTTTTGGGGGAAAACCACTAAATTTTAATAAATAATACCTCAAACTAAAGTTAGGATAATACAATTGACATTGCTGGATTCCTTGTAAGACCAGGAATATTTTGAATATAAATGTCATATATTTTGCACAAAAGATAACATACTTACTCAGATTAAAAATTTTATCTAAGATTTGTATGTCTAATGCAAAATATATGATGTCTATATTCAAAATGATCATCAAATTATAAGAATTCCAACAATGTAAATTATATTCTGACCGGGTAATTTGTATGAATTTTATGAGCTAAAACAAATATCTTCAGTTAATAAAAAAAATAATAATCTTCAGGACACTATCTGTCAATCAAAGTACCCCACCTTGCCCTCCCCCCTCTTCCAACCGCGTGGTCAGTCCCAACCCTCCCCCCCACCCCCCACCAATCCTTCCTTCAAGAGTTTTTAACATTTAGTATTAAATAATACCTCAGATTAAAGTTAGGATAATATAATTGACATTGCTGGATTCCTTGTAAGACCAGGAATATTTTGAATATAAATGTCATATATTTTTCACAAAAGATAACATACTTACTCAGATTAAAAATTTTATCTTAAATTTGTATGTCTAATGCAAAATATATGATGTTTATATTCAAAATGATCATCAAATTATAAGAATTCCAGCAATGTAAATTATATTCTGACCGGGTAATTTGTATGAATTTTATGAGCTAAAACAAATATCTTCAGTTAATAAAAAAAAAAAAATATTCTTCACAGGATAACAGATGGTCGGTCGGTCCCTCCATCCCCCACCAACCGTCCCAAGGAGATGTGTGGGAAAACCAGAATACTTAACTTTTTTGTAATAAATAATACCTCAAACTAAAGTTAGGGTAATATAATTGACATTGCTGGATTCCTTGTAAGACCAGGAATATTTTGAATATAAATGTCATATATTTTGCACAAAAGATAACATATTTACTCAAGAGTAAACATTTTATCTAAAATTTGTATGTCTAATGCAAAATATATGATGTTTATATTCAAAATGATCACCAAATTATAAGAATTCCAGCAATGTAAATTATATTCTGGCCGGGTAATTTGTATGAATTTTATGAGCTAAAACAGGCAGTCAGGCAGGTTGGAGGGTGGGGCAAATCTAAAATTAGCGTCTCGAGCCGGACACTCACCGCGTATATGATGAAAAAATCCGTGTTAAGTGAAAGTTCAGCTCTGGCGAGGCACCGCGTATATGATAAAACGCGCTAAGTGAAACCGCGTTAGGCGGGGTAATACTGTATATATATACACACAGTATAGTCTGGATTTACGTGGTTTTTGTTTACGCGGTGCCGTGCCAGAACGAAATGTTTTAATTATGCGGTAAATTTCATCATTTACGCGGCGAGCGGCTGGAGAGGTTCAGACCGCCGCGCCATATTTTACTCTCGCGGACTATTCTTGACCATATGCTGGAAGCGGTGAGTGGTGCGCATTAGGCCGCTCTTACGTTATCGCTGACGTCATATGACATATCGGACTGTGATTGGGCCATGCATCCTTACCACCCATGCATTCCCTCTGCCGCTAGCTGTGATTGGTGTAACATGACATGCCCTGCCACCAGAGGGTAGAAGTCGCTGACCTAGCCGGGCCTGTCTCATTGTTCTCAGTCCGCGTATACAGTTCTCTCTTGTGCCCGCTATCACAATGGCTTCCGCTGTACCCCCACCACCCGAGAAAAACCTTGAATTACTTGGACCAAGCCATGATTGTGTGAAGGAAATCATCGAGTTGGGGGAGAAAATTAAGCTCATCCTTGACGACGACCCAGACAAGCATCGGTATGCAGTGTCTAATAACCTTCTGTCGAAAGTTATGGAGCCGTATATCCAGATCTATCTCGACAACATCAATGCTAGTCGTCAACGTAGTATTAAGGACTTCCTCGCCCGCAACCCACCACAACCACAGCCAGCCCAAGTCAGTGATAGTGACAGTGAGGATATGGACTTTGAGGGGTTTGTCTGGGAGGCCCTGCAAACCTCTGTGAGTAGTGAAAGTGATTCACCGGAGGGCAACTAATCTGCCCTCTGCCTCGGAACCGGCCGCCATCCACGTGTGCCGACCCAGGTTTTCTACTAACGTAAGTGTTAAAAAACCTAATATTATTGATATTTCTCTTAATTATTAATTGTGTGTGCAAACCATCATAAAATTAAGATGTTATTTTTACTACAACCTATGTATTGTGTCGGAAAAAGTGGAGTTTGGGGGTCGGCCCAGTCTCTATTTCAATTAATCGTGTTTTCTTTTTTCCTCGTGGTTATCAGCATATACCTGGATCACGCGCACCTACAGTGATTTACTTGCACACACACACACATATATATATATATATATATATATATATATATATATATATATATATATATATATATATATATATATATATATATATATATATATATATATATATATATATATATATATATATATATATATATATATATATATATATATATATATATATATATATATATATATATATATATATATATATATATATATGTATGTATACAGTCAACCCTCACTTTACGCGGTCCCACATTCCGCGTTTCTACGTTTACGCGGTGCCCTGCCAGAACCCAGGATGCTCACATTCCGCGGTGGGTGTACCCCTTTACACGGGTGAAGTATAATATTTTTATTTAGCTCATAAAATTCATACAAATTATCCGGCCAGAATATAATTTACATTGCTGGAATTCTTACAATTTGATGATCATTTTGAATATAAACATAATAGATTTTGCATTAGACATACAAATTTTAGATGTAATGATTGCTCTGAGTAAATATGTTATCTTTTGTGAAAAATATATGACATTTATATTCAAAATATTCCTGGTCTTACAAGGAATCTAGCAATGTCAATTATATTATCCTAACTTTAGTTTGAGGTATTATTTATTACTATACCTGGTTTTCCCCCCAAAATTTCTCAGAGGGAAGAGCCAGCAGTGTAGTGTGAGAAGAGGGGGAGGGAGCCGTGTCCATCATTTGAATGGACATTAACTTGGCGACTGTATTTCTCTATTTCTCTTAAGTATTAATTGTGTGCATGTACCATCAAAAAATTAAGATGTTATTTTTACTAGAACATAGGTATTGTGTTGGAAAAAGTGGAGTTTGGGGGTCAGCTGGTCTCTATTTCATTTAATCCCATATGTTATGTTATTCACTTTACGCGTTTCTCACTTTCCGCGGTACCCTGTGGGTTACATTAACCGCGTAAAGTGAGGGTTGACTGTATATATATATATAAAAACACTAAAC